TAGTATCACTTAGGTAAATGATTGGTTGTCTGACAAAAGTGACAACACATCTATATATAATGTACATTTGAACTCTTATACTTAGTAATTGCATTGCATACATTTTCGAGTTGAATTACGTCAACGTTGAATTAGGCATGAAAGCCTCACTGTTAATTGAAATCCTTTAATAAAGTGTTACTTGTTATTTGTTCACCTGAACAATTAGGCTGACAGATTCATTCCTACAAGTTACAGTAATACATGTCTGGTTACACATTAGTTACAGTAGTTAGTTAAGTGTGAATGGTGATTGGTATTTTTACATCTTCTTTAGATAGCGCGATTGAGAACTTGAAGAACGAAATCATTGTCTGGTTCTATTCAGACACTTATCCATGTCATTGTGCCTTTAGATTGCTCGCTACCTTATGGGAGGATTGGGATAGAGGACGTGAGAGAAAGTGCCCCAAGTTACGAGTGCGAATAATGTGTGTGTTTTAACTGCGTGTACAGGACACCCAGTGTGCCCTGTCACATGTTTGCAGTGTGTTGTGCAGAACGTTAGAGAATCTGAGCTGTACAAGTCTGATACAAATATTAGGATTAAATCATGCTTACAGAGTACTGACAGAATTATTCAGATCTTATGATGATGCTTTAACTCACCTAAATGAAGAAATACAAGCTACTTGAAGTGTGGAACAGTGTGGAGATGAGCCAGGCTGCTCGTGGCACGAGTTGAATCTAGCGCGAATGTTTACGAGAGCCCAGGGTTCAGGTCAAAGGTTGACCATTAGTGCGTTGTGTTGAATTCAAGAGGTGCGAAATGAGCCAATGAGAAGGCTGTGATTTGTGAATAATTAAGTCATTTAAATATCGTTTATTGTGTGATCCAACAGGTCTGGTATTAATCTCTTTACAACATCAAGTTGTAAAGAGAAGAGAATCTAGCGCTCTTAATAAAGACTAGATGGTGGCAGCTTACTGTGTTGTGAATGTTGACTTGATTTTGGTGGCAAGCGATGCAAGCACCCCCCCCCCCCCCTTTCTCTCTCACTGGGGAATTACAACACCACCACCCCTCTTCCTCTTTACCCCCCTTCTTCCTCCCATATCCCCCTTCTTCCTTCCTCTATTGTATTATCTATTAACCACCCCCCCCCTATTCCGTCACAATAACAATATTGATGATGATAATAATAATAATAATCAAAAACAAAACGATAATATTAATTAAAACGATAATTAATGACGAAATTAATGGAAGCAATTGAAAAAGAAATTTACTGGCACCAGTAAATTGATATCTGAATTAATGAATTACTGAAAATATTCTTGATATCAATTTAATAAATTGATATGAGACAAAAAAAGAGAAACATAAAGTTAATATTGAACTCATAACATGTTTTTGCACATACTTAAATTAATGAAAACGAAGCATTATTTTTCGACAGAATTTTACTAAGTTTAAACGTGTTTGTACATTATTGGAGTTAAAAAGCTGATCCATTTTCAGTGTATTTGGTCTTTCAATAAAATATTTATCGATGAACAATTTTCTTTCTGAACGAAAGGTAGGGCATACAAACAAGTAATGAAACTCATCCCCAAGCGATTGCAAATTGCACAGCGTACATAGCCTCATTTCTCTTGGAGTATTTGAATATCTACCAGCTACAATCGGCAGGTAATGATTGCCACAGCGAAAACGACTTAATATTGTCCGATCTCTTTTAATGAGATCGATTAAGTATCTTTCTAAACATAAAGAATGTTTGAAGATTCGATAGTTAACACAATGCGAATTATCGTACATACAAGCAGACCAATACTGAGCATGAGAATCTCTCAATCGACGTTCCACAGTTTGTTTGACCCACTCATAGCTAGTATCTTCACAAATTTCCCATAAATAAGACATCCCCATATTGTCCAGAGTCAGCTTGATTTTTTTTTAACCAAGGTGCCTGATATATATTCTTCTCAAAGAGTAATTTTAAGATAATATACACCTTAATACCAGAAAATTTATCCTGTCCACTATGTACAATCCTACACCAGAAGTTTATCATTCTGCTTTCGATATATTTCTCAAGTTTAAGCCTCCCCAATTCACCAAGTACCATACAATTTGCAGTTGTTTTGTTGACAGAAAGGGCTTGCTTACAAAATTTCATGTGGAAAATTTCAAGATCATGTAGCACTTCAAATCCCCATATCTCACTTCCATAGAGCAGAATGGGCAACACAAGTTGATCAAATAATTCCAAGAGGATATCAATAGGTAAGTGCAGTTGATAAGTTTTAGATAATAGACTATACATTGCTCGTCTAGCTTGATTAAGTTGCTTAATTTGAGCTTTACGAAATTTGTTGTTGTAGTTAAAAGTAGTTCCAAGATAGACGTATTCATCAACAACTTCTACAATATCATGATCAAATTTAAATATAGGAATTTTTTGAACTTTACCACGAGAAAATACAACAACTTTGGTTTTAGCTGTGTTAACTTGAAGAAACCATTTTTACAGTAATCAGATACTGCATCAAGAGCAAGCTGAAGTTCACTTTCAGTTTTTGCAAGAACTATTGTATCGTCTGCATACAGTAATGTAAAAAGCCTGAGATAAACATCTATACCTTTTTGATACGCAGCTGCATCAATCTTGTCAGGAAGAATATTTATGTTTTTTTTGCAGATCGAGGGAGCGTAGGCGCAGCTATACTACACGTACGCGCGCGCGCTGGATATCCATGGTAACGTGTAATATAACTTTTTCCGCTTTTTTTGTGCAAAATCGTGCTTGAATCAAAAATTTGTACATTTCATGTGACGCGTATTGACCAATCACGATGCTTAAAATACTAGAGCCATTTTATAAAATATGTTTAGCTAGTGCTAAGCCGCCTATACAGGTACTGCATTGTAGGGCAATTATCGCACAGCTTGAATTGCATGGCTTGAGCGCCATGAAAGAGAGGGAGTTGGCCGTGCGCAGGCATTTGAAATGAGGGGGGGGGGGGGGAGGGGGGATGTACGCGCGCGCATAGTTCACTTTTTTCTGACATAGTACCTTTTTTTCCCTAGGGAAAAAAGGTACTATGCGTGACGTCAGCAATAAAAAAAATGAACTATTCCGATGTAGTCGGCAGGAAACGTCTTTTTATAGTAAATCTATTCTTTATCTTGTTTTGTACACTCCCAATGCAACAATCTTACGATAAAGGATATAATACAAGTTATTGTTCTTTCTGTGTGCATGCCTGTTACTTTTACCAAGACTGGGCCAAATTTCTTATATGTTCATGATTCCATAACCTTACAGTACACAACAATACTTATAATGCTCCACGATCAACTTTTTCTGATCGATTCCACACCGTTTCTTTCACAATGCAATCGCATGACCAGAACTCAACTTACCACAAAATTAATATTCCAATTTGGTTCATTAGCTGAAAATATTATAAACCAATGGTCATGTACATATATATAGCCTTCGCCAAAATTAGAAACACGTTCCTGTCCAGCTTTGTACTATGTCTGCTAAGTGCATTACTTGTTTCATATCTATATTTCCCTATTAATATTTAAGTGATTATGTAGCCATCATATATAATAGCAGTGTATTTCATTTTATCGATCGCAAGTTCGGTAATGAGCGCAAATCAATGGATGGAATTATACAGACCGGTCATGATTAATCATAACTCTCTATATGCTGCTAATGTGTGATTTTCTTTCACAGACCATGAAAACTATTCTCACCTGGATTTGTGTCTGGCCTGCGGCATTGTTTAAAAGTAGATGTTCCAGTCCTAGTGCTTCCTTCACATATTAGATAAAAACTAAACATATTTTTAAATTAGAGAGCAAGATCAGAGAAGTTCGCAAAATATATATCTACATTTATTTAGGTGGTTAGAAAAATACTAAAGGATGTACACTATATATTGAAGACGAAAAGGAAAAAAAAACACGAAAATTGAGTTGAATTATTCCCCCCCCCTCTCCATTCCAATACCGACGCCAATTTTTAGACAGTTTATAGAAAACTGCATATTTTAGGGTATGAACCTTTTTTCTTTCCGCCCACCGTAATCGCCCTCACCTCCTCTTCACAGCTAGATTTGGATCCCTGGTAAAGAGACTTCCAATAAATACATTCACATTTCAATCTCCACTTCATATCCTGGTGCTACCACTGCACATAGTCCAATCAGGAATTGGGATCGAGACTGTAAATCATGTAATGTAAATAATTATGCTTTTAATGAACTTTGAATTCATCGCCGCAGTCAAGATCTTAAACACCAAATTATAATATTATTAGATAACCCAATATAAATTTTAAACATGACCCCTGTTGTTAATAGATTGGGCCTATTTATGAGGGAATAAATGTAAGTTTTCATATATCAATGTTGAGATATAAACTAAACAACAGCTTTGGCAACTCTCGTGGAAATAAATGAAATGCAAAAGGAGACGAGGGAATAATAGTTACGTACTTAAAATCAAAGTTCCCAATTACTGTCTTCCCTTTTGTAAATGTTTGCAAAGGTACACAAAAATTCTCCAACTAAAATCTACGGAAACCATTATTCTTGCATTTCATTTCGATTTTTATATTATGTATACATTACATACATATAAAGTATATCTAAAACACCATAAATTGAAGTTGAATAATACATATATCAGTCTTATCTGTTTCAAGCTCTAGTTGGGCTATCACTTTGATACATGATATACTAAACTGATATGGTCTGTAATTAACGTAAGAAATAGGCCCTGGATTAAAAAAAATTGATACACTTAAAGAAATGGTTGAGTTCTGAGAAGATGTTAACAATAATTTGTAAGCGTTTTCATTGTTATTATGCAAATGTGGGAGAACATCAGAGAGAAAAATGTTCCCTGACAAGTATGGCTCTTCATATGCCTTTATATTCTAAACTTCTTCTTCTACTTCGATTCTATGACGATACTCAGATCAGCAGGATCCATAAATATGACATGTAACAGGTTAAGAAGTGAGGCCCTCATTTTTATGCCACATGTTTATCTAGTCCCATATTCTTCTTTCTGTGTGCATGCCTGTTACTTTTACCAAGACTGGGCCAACTCTCCTATTATGTTCATGATTCCATAACCTTACAGTACACAACAATACTTATAATGCTCCACGATCAACTTTTTCTGATCGATTCCACACCGTTTCTTTCACAATGCAATCGCATGACCAGAACTCAACTTTATCCTTAACTCGTATTTTATATCTCTTTTCTTGTTATTAGGTTAAAAAATACCACTTCAGCAGAAGCTTGATTTCCAGACGAATCCACCATGCCTGTTGCACTTGGTGAATGGCGGGTGCGGATAGGAAGATTCATACACTGGGTCAGAGAAAACGACATAAGAGAGCAAAAAGTAAAGGTAATGACGGAGAGAATCCGGCGACTCAAAATATTGCATAAGAGGCTTCTTGAAAAAAAAGGACAAATCTGAAGATAAATGCGACTCCAAGCAAGACGACCTGAGCGCTAGAGTGGACAATACCCCACATGAATCTCGTATCATCAATAACGACACGCCGACTGGTTCTCACAAAGAGGGCAGCTGCAGCAGCAGTGAATCTACAATTGAAGAGAACAAGACTCAAACGGAATCGACCACAAAACATAAAAGCACGGGAGATGACTCTATATTTCCTTTCTTCTTCACACTCTTGCTGTCATTTTTCTCTTTATTGTTCTCTTTGATATTTTTCTTTGTCGTTGATTTTTCAAATCTGCTAGAGAGTTTCAAGCCCTTTCTGAAGTGGAGTGTTGAATCTTCCTGGAGGAGTACATGTCTTAGAATAATCGTGTGCTGCACTTTGGCCTACATTGTTTGTGCATGCGTTATAAATACCAATGAGGACGTGCAAAATAATCTGGTGCTAATCGGGGATGAGAACGCAAAAGTTGAATGTTGCATTAAAGCGAACAAAACTCCTACTGAATCTACAAACAAAGCAAACAACACTACAAATAAATCTACCAAAGAATGCAACAAATTTCCAACAAATACTACCTTTGAGGCGAGCAATACTCCCTTCACTACCAGAGATGGACCATCAGAAAGTAAACAATCAAAGACAAAAACATCAAAGAGAAAAACTATAAAAGAAAAAAATACTACAACTAAATTAACATTAAGAGAGAACAGTACTCTACCTGAATCTCCAATCAAAAACAGCATTGCTCCAAAAGAATTTCATATCGACACTCTCTCTACCATAACAGAGAAACCGTCAAAAAGAAAAACATCAAGGAGAAAAATCACCAAAGAGAAAAAGACTGCAACTGAATCTACCTACATCTCGAACAATGCTATAACTGAAACTTCCATCAAGGCAAACAACTCTCCAACTAAATTGAACATTAAAAAAGATAACAACGCCCAACCTAAATCTACCATCAAAGATAATAACTCTCCAACTGAATATATAACCAAAGACAACAACACATCAAATGGATCTGCCATCAAAGACAACAACACTAAAACTGAATCTACCATCAAAGACAGCAACACTCCCTCTACAATCAAAGAAAAATCATCAAAGAGAAAAACATCAAGGAGAAAAACCGCCAAAGACAAAAACATCGCAACTGAATCTCACTTAGAAGAGAACACCACTACAACTGGATCTAGCATCGAAGAAAAAAGCTCCTCAACTGAATCTGCGATCGAATACAACAGCACATCAACTGAATTTGCTATCAAAGACAAGAACTCTCCAACTGAATGTACCATCAAAAAGAACAACTCTACAGCTAAATCTGCCAATAAAGGCGGCAATTCTACAACTGAATGTACCATCAAAATCAGCAATTCTACAACTAAATGTACCATTAAAGAGAACAACGCTACATCTGAATCTACCATCAAAGTCGAAAGAACTACAGCTGAACGAACCATCAACTGTAACGACACTACAACGGAATCAACCACCAAAGACAGAAACTCCACTACTGAAGCTACCATCAAAGAGTACAACCGTTCAAGTGAACCTACCATCAAAGATACCAATCTTCCAATTGAACCTACCATCAAATACCACAACATTCGCACTGAACCTAGCATCAAAGACAACACCTCTACAATTCATTGTACCTTTAAAGAGAAAAACACTTCAACTGAATGTCCAATAAAATGCAACAACTCAACAAGTGAATCTACTATCGAATGCAGCAGCACTACTAATGAACCTGCTATTAAAGAGAACCACACTCCATCTAGAACCCCTACTGAAGAGAACATCAATCTACCCGTGAAAGTGAACATCGCGCAGGCAGAATATCCGGTACGATCCAGAAACCAAAAGGTACGTATCCATTTTCACGAGGTATTATTCTTCTACTCGGATTTCATTCAAAATCTCGAGATAGGTGTACAATTTTTATTTAAATAACAAAAACGTCCGTATCATCCAATGCCACGCCATATACATGTATGCAGGCAAATTAATAATTTGATATAATTATATAGAAGTGCATGTAAACAATTATCAACTTTTACACTTTATTCTCTAGTACTGAGTGAGAAATTGTATCAGATTTTACAAACTTTCATTTTCTACTTCAAAATATCGATGATATTTCGTTTTCTATATTCATATTCAGTTTTTTCACTTACGATTGACGTATGTGCACATGTTCATTGTAGATTCATTCATCCTTTCCACAAATTTGTATAGTTACTACCAGACGGGAAACACAGTTTTTCGAGTCAGATTCCAAGCAGCCTGAAAGGAACCACTGATGGTCCTGTCATGCAAGAGAGCACCTGCCTCCCTGAGATGCTCCTGATAAAGGCTGGAGATGTAGAGCGAAATCCAGGGCCATTCGATAGGTAGACATCTAGCTTGCTCTTCCACTTTTTCTTATTTTTTCGCGGGGGGGGGGGGGGGACTAAAGACATTTAATGATTTGTTTTATGTTACCATTTCTCTTGGTGATTTACCACAATCCAACGAAGGTTTATTTAAACCACAAACGTCAATCCACTGTGGAATACAAGTATGTGTACATCTCATCATATGAAAATGGATTATCTAAATTCTACTAGATACAATTAAAACATAACGCCAAACAAAAGTTCATCGATGAAAAAGGAAAGGAAAAAGAAGTGTCTCTCAATGCTTTCAGAAAATGTGTCAAATCCCATCTTTTCTATTAATACCATAATGGTAAGCACGATTGAACATGTAGATGGAAACTGCTCTATATAAATACATCGTTATTTATTTTTATATTATTATTATTATTGTCCTTAAATACAGCTGACAGGTAAATTATTCCGTCTTTCAACCATGCCAAATTACCGTATAAATTCGAAAATATGTTAAGAATGGAACACTCAAAGGTAGAAAATATCGGCACTAAATAACCCAAATGGATCCTACTTGGACTCGGAAAACTCGTTTCCAGAGATCTTTTCTACTTCTATATCAAAGTAACTATTGGCTAACACTACCAGGGGCGGATCTAGCTTTTTGCCAAGGGTGGGGGGGGGGGGGGGTGGGTTTGACCAAGTGGCAGATCCAGGATTTACCAAAAATCGCGCCGTTTTACTGATTTCTTCTTCTTTTCCCTTCTTTCCCTCCTTTCCCCTTTTTTCACTTGGCCGCCCAAGGAAGGGGGGGGGGGGTTAAACCGCCGAACCCCCTAGATCCGCCCCTGACTACTTAGGCCTCTTACTACTCGCTGTTGAATATAACGCTTAGATATACTGCCTCATGATTCATTCTTCCACGTGTTTATTTTTCAAGGGTATTTATCGTTTCCGGTTTCTCGTTTAAACAGATCAGTAGACATACAAGAACAAAATGTAGGTTATCTTCCCAATTTCATATTTACACAGATCAGCGAGTATTCAAGAACAAGAACTGGTAAACCTGGCGTACGATGTGCCTTCATCAAAATACACAGAGCTGTGCATTGCCCTTGATGTATCGTACAATAAGAGCCAAACCATTCTTGACAGACATCACTGGGATTTTACAAGATCACTAATTGCGGTATTTTGTGAATGGAAGAACAGACAAAGGGATGGCACAGATTGTCGTCAAGTTATGGCTGCGGCGCTCCGGGGTGTTCACCTTGACGCATTCGGTGACAAAATGTCCGGAGGTAACGTTATTGTTTATTTGAAATACACTTTAAAGATCTTTTCTTGGCATCTTATATAATTCCATGTCATTACATTAATTTATGTTCATTATGCACGCATTATTGTCATTTCCTTGAGGGCGCGGGCATACTATTAGTAAGCTGACAAATTTGAAAGATGACTGTTGTAAAGCAGAAATACAAGAATTGGACACTACAGGTGTCTTTTTTCACAAATCCTCAAAAACAGTTAAAAATTCAAAGGCCTAATGAGGGCACAACTACCTATGAATTCACTTTATTCTTTAAATTCCTATTACATATCGTATTTTCCGTGAATCATACGATTGACCAATTGGTGATTTATAGAATAGTCAAGGAAACGTTTTGCAGAGTGTTGTTCGGAACTTTATATTCTAGGGCTTCATAATAGAGTTTTTTGTTTGTAGGCTGTCAAAAAGAAGATATATACTTAATCTTATTAAATCTATAAAAAACAAATTTTAAATAACTTCCCAGGAACAACGAAAATTAAAATCTTCCTTTTTTATGCATTCTTAACATTCTAAAACGAAAACTCTTATACTGATGTTGAACATAACGCTCATTTAAATCTTGGTTGAAAAAAAACACTAAATCATGTTTAAGGTAAAAACGAAAATGAGTAACATATATAACAGTAATATTTACGCTCGAAAATACCCAAGGTGTGTGGCTTCATAATAATAGTTCAATTATTATATAAAAGCATTGTTGTATGTATTATGTTTAGGGAGCAATTTTGTATAACGAGTAGCCGAATGATTTAGAATAACATTTCGTTCCCATTACATATATTTCTTGAAATATACGGTGAAAAAATTCACTGAATTATTATGAAGATCGTTCATGGACATCATAATATAACAAATAATTCATTTAAGGAAAATAAATCACACGATTGTACCATTTTTTTCCCCAACAGGTGGCTATCTCCCGCAAAAAGTAGCTCCAACTGGTAAGCAAGTAATACTTTGTTAATGTATTACAAATTTCGGTTTCAATATCTAATAAGTCAAAAATGTTAGGTTATACTAATCAGATCAGTGATATTTATTTTCAAGATGAAACTTGTAAAAAAGTGTAGCTGTGTATTAAAAAATTTATAATTATTTTATAGAGCTTTTCGAGCAATATGGTATATTTCAAATAAGCAGTGTGATTTTTATATTTTCTTTGCACCTTATACGATTATCCTATTTCACAGAAATTATATTAATCTTTGGGTTAGTTTTGAAATCGGAAATTTTCAGATTACCCGTTATCGTGATGACTATAAAATCCCCCCCCCCCCAACTGGCTGTGCAAGATCAAAACAGACCAACTTGACTTCAGCTCAGTTTTAGTATTCGAAAGGATTTACAAGGAAGAGGAATAATAATATTTGTTATAAGTCTGCTAACATATTTGATTAATATTTTGCATTTATCTGTGTAAATTATTTACTTAGAATCAGCAGTAGGAGAAGAAACACAACCACTTACCAAGGAACAGGTAAATCAATGTGCTCAGGACTTCAAAACTTTCTACCGAACACGGTTATGCAAGATCAAGACAGATCCACTTGACTTCAATTCCATTTTAGAGTTCGAAAGGATTTACACGAATTTAGTTCTGCTAAGAAACGAAATGGGAACCACTAGGGAGACACCCTTAGACTACACCGAACTACTAACAACAAAAGTCAATGGAGAATTTCCAAAACGTCTCATGGTGGAAGGCGAAGGAGGAGCAGGTAAGACAACATTCTGCTCCAAGATCGCATGGGACTGGACGGAAAGAACTAAGGAGTTTGAAGAGTTTGACTGGGTTCTGGTTATTCCTTTTCGAAACACCAATGAAGGTCAGACTGTAGGGGATATAGCAAAGACATATCTGTCAGATAGCAACACGGTTCAATCGCGCCAGATAGATAGATACATACTTTCTGCCCCTTTGAAAGTGTTTATCATATTTGACGGACTAGACGAGTATGACGGTGATATCCTCAAAGAGAGTTCAGATTTCGCTAAGATTATTCGGTCAGAGAAGTTTGTGGAATGTAGAGTCCTGGTGACAACACGCCCGTGGAGAGCAGTTCCTTTCAAATCCCACGAACTTATGATGCAAACTTTCGCTTTTCTGGCCGTAGCTGGGTTTGATGAAGAAAACATTTCGACCTATATTACTAAATATTTTCAGGATGAGCCGCCGTCAGGATATGAATTAATAAAGTATATAGAAAGCAATGACCTAATTCAAGAAAATATGGCTCCATTCCCGCTTTACATAGCAATGCTTTGTATCTTGTGGCGGAATTCTGATGCCGGCAGACGAAATATAATTCGGAAACTTAAAACCTTCTCACAGCTATTCCATGCGATGATAATTTTTCTCATAGACCACTGCATGACAAAACAGCACCAGAACCCCAATGTTAAAATTCTTACAAACAAGGAGATAAATAATTACCTATTACGAATTGGAAAGTTTGCTTACTCTGGAGTTTTAGAGAAAAGGTTGACGTATACCGAAAATGATTTCAGCGGATATGATGAAGCAATGGAGGCATGTTGTAGAATAGGAGTACTGAGTCGAGAAATTCTTATAGTGCCAAGACAGGACAGGCGTCTGAGTGATCAGTCAGATCCCGTGACCTGTAGCGTCTTCTTCCCTCACAAGTTGTTCCAGGAATACCTTGTCGGTATGTATCTTGCCTCTCTTTTTGAGTCTGATCATGAGCGGTATGAAGTGGCGGTTAGTGTTGTGATTCAGAGGCCAGAGGAGTTCCGCAACCTTCTATACTTTACTGCATCTCAAACGAAGAACGTCGCTATTGATGTCACTGACAGGCTAATCAAGACGACAAGAATACATCCTTACACTCTAGTGGATATCGCCTTCGAAGCGTATGATGAGGACGCGGCTAAAATGGTTGGACGGCAACTCTTTACAAAACAAAAGACACTAAAAATCGACGACGAAATGTCAGCGCATACTGTGTCTGGATTTCTTTTCATCACTGAAGAGAAACAAATGGTGAGAGTATTTGAATAGTTGCTGAAAAATGCCACAACTTAACTAAAACTTATGTTCCATGAAATAATCAAAACATCACATCTTATTATAAGTAATATATTTTTCGGAAATAAGTTCTTTGTGAAAGAATTTTGCCATAAACAACCTATTCTGGTTGTATATATATGTTTTAGAAATATTGATCGGGACCTATAAAATAAATCCAACGGACCCTTTTTTATTGTTAAGTCTGAAATTATTTATCTTTCATGGAAGAAAAAATATTTTATGAGAAAAAATTAATATGATTTTGGAATTATTTTTTTAACAAACTATTGCAAATCTATTAGTTGCACACAGGTTATACTAGCACATTTTGTTTTATTCATAGGAAACTCTGATATTGAGTAGAATATCATGTGGTCCGACTGTCTCCCGTGACCTAGCAGACGTCATCCGCTCATCTACAGCATTTACATCATTGGAATTCAGCGGTGCGAAGTTCCATGACGACTTCTATAGCATCCTGGAGGGTAAAGTCAAGACGTCAAAGGTATGGAGAATCCGCACAGAGAGTATGAATAAGGCAAAGTGGGCGGACTGAGGATTATCTGAATAGGAGGGGGAAATATGGGGGGGGGGGGGGTGCAAGATCTCTTCCCCCAGAAACATAGATACCAACTGTACCGTCCAGACATTCTTACTATGTCTTAGTTGGTCAAAGCTTTACAATATCTGTCTCATTTATTATCCGCATTTGACAAACAATGTGACTATGAAACAATGAAACACCATAAACGTGCTTGATGCATCGTGTGTGGTCAATAATAATACCCTTATATGAATTACTCTCCTCCGTCAGGCATTCAAGGAATCCCCTCTGTAAAAACCTAATAAAAAAAATAAGAAAATGTCCCCACATCAAAAGTATGACCGGCTGCCTTCCCTTTTATTCCTTGGTTCGTGTCATCATATTTGCTAGTTCTGCATGAAGAAACACAGATAAGGGTTACTTTATCATGGAGTCCGATGAGAGGGATATTTGTTTGACATATTTGGGGTTTCGGTCTTAAAAAGTGGCAAGGGATTCCATGTTGATGGTGCTGTCTTGTAGTCTATTCCAGTCTTAACATGAATATGGGACAGAGGTGAACGTGAAGGAATCTATCTGCTCAAAATGTTTTGATCTACGTGATGAAGGATTTTAAACCTCATTGAAATAAACAGATAAGTGTCGGGGATTGAGATCAGACTTTCAATTGCCTATGACTATGTTGTGTGCACGGTTTGAAATTACTGTAATGATATGGATATTCTCGTGTTTACGTTTTCCTCAAAGGTCCATTGACGTACATGTACAAGGCAAATTCCTGGTAGATTTCGCTAGAACTATGTTTACAAACATACATGGTGAATTCCTTGTATGCTATTTTTGACACCTGTTCCGAGACGTTGCGCTCTTAATTTTGGCTCTACTTTTTCGGCTCTACTTTTTCGGCTTGGCCGATTGGATTAGGTGTCGCTGGGCGTGTCGCCACAGTTGACTTAAATTTAATTAGGCAAATTTGGGAAATAGATTTGTATTACAATTGGAAGGGTTTTTCCTTGTTGCCGGGTCTGTTCACACTATCGAAATAGTATGAGAGAGGAAGTGAGGATTTACAGGTGTGTAATAGCCAGAAGCATGTGGGCTCGCTAGTGTGGACGGACATAGCAACATTTATCCCTTTTTATATTCATTGAATTAATTTCCAGGGTTGTTGGGTCTCCGGGTGATTTGCATCTCTTGTTTGAAAGATTAGAATGTAAGAGACACAGGTGGGTGCGTGAAAGAAGTATGTGAGGAATAGAGATGCGGATCATCCGGAGCGCCTTATATCCGAGGGGGTAAATTCGCCAAGAAATATAGGACCTTTTAATACGGAAACTAATTATGGGTGGATTGATATTACGCAAAGCGTCTGTGTGACACGCCTCAATTTTTGGGAGGACGAGGCGTGTCAGTTCGGGGGGATAAAAACCGAGTTGCGTCTCTGGAGCGGGACCTCTTTTCCGTTACGATCGACATGAGTTGCTAATTTGTTTCGATTGGGTTGCCCAGCCCCAAAACATGAACTTCGTGATTTATTAATTCTTCGTTTATTTTAATAAATCTTCAACTCCAATCAAGAATTTGTTTCAGTGACTTTGATTTATCTTCGTTTTCTACACTTCAAGAACTAAAGCTATACTTTAACATTTTCTGAGTCGGTACTAGGCGGGGCGGTTTTGGCCACCGGGCCGTCTCGCCGTGGATCGCTTCAATTGGTAGCGTACGGATGGGGTAAGACACTTGTTTATCACTTCAACCATTACCATTGAACTTCAAGATATATTAGCGACGTCAGCGGAGAGCTGCAGAGATTTTTGTTAGCTCACATCCGTCAACTAGTTATATGTGGATCTGTTGGGGTTGTCACGAGGACGGAGTCCAAGAACCCCTGGGCTTCGAACTAACTTTTTTTTTTGTCGGCCGCTCAGCATCGAAGAGTATTGAGAGGAGTGAAATTTTCTTCTGCTGGTGGTTTCCTGACGAGGGGGCCCAGGAGCTTATTTCCGCAGAGCTACAGCGCGACGAAGCGACGGTGGAAGCGTAGCTGGTGATTCTTTTATGCTGGGAAAACGGTAGTACTTTAGGGCCGCGTGGGTGTCATCTTGAAGGGGCTCGCTGCTTGTGTCAGCGGGGAGGTGATATCGTCACTTCATTCATGGTCGGCGGCACATGCCTTCGGTGTTGCATGCTTGCATCGTTCCGGTGAATTAGAAGGCCGCGGTGCCGGGAAACTAGGTACGTTCAGCTGGTCTCGTAGCTGGTCTACGGGTTTTCTGCGTAGCCTAACGGTTCGTCCTGTGATCTCCGTAGACGTGAAATCTTGCAGTCAACTACATCGACGCGACACAACATCATCGCCATCGAGAGGGACTACAAGACTGTGTATCTACGGCGATCTAAGGCGTGTTCAGACATCATCTAGGAGGGAGTATTTCTGAGGGTGACGGATGCAGGCAGCGGATTGACATCTCTGGTATGTCTTGAACTTAGAACACTTTATCTATATATGATAATTGATTCTATGCCTTGTTGCGTATGGCATTATATACAATTAGATACATCTTTTGATGTATACCATTATTCAGAACATTTAGTGTATTATCTGACGGCATAATTCATTAATTGACTGGTAAATTTATATAATCCTTGTAAACGAGAACAGTAGTGAAGGTGTGTTTTTTTCATATATACATATGGTAACTAAGAATATGGTTCTGGTTTCACTCTGGCTCGCCTACATGTAGTATACATCTCTTCCAAAAATTAAGGTAAGCAGTATTTAGGGGTTTTATACTATATATGGTAACCCGAGGTTGCATCCCTTGCCTTAATGTTCATATTAGACTAATTACTTAATAGTATTTACAATAGATAATAATAATAGTTATGGCTGAAGAGTTAGTTAAAGATTTGGTAACGAGTTTTACCGAAGCCCTACAGGGTATCCGGATTACACCTACTGGTAGGACAACCGCTACCCTAGTAAAAAAATAAATAGGAAAAAAATAGAAAAAAAATAGGGAAAAAAATAAATGCAAAAATATATTTTTTTCCTATTTTTCTCATCCCCAAAAAAGCTATTTAATTGCTATAGTTTTGGAACAAAAAATAGGAAAAAAATAAAGCCACAAATAGTTTTGAAATATATTTTTTTCCTATTTTTCTCGTCCCCTAAAAATAGGAAAAAAATAAAGCCACAAATAGTTTTGAAATATATTTTTTTCCTATTTTTCTCATCCCCCAAAAAAGCTATTTAATTGCTATAGTTTTGGAACAAAAAATAGGAAAAAAATAAAGCCACAAATAGTTTTGAAATATATTTTTTTCCTATTTTTCTCGTCCCCTAAAAATACCCAAAAAAGCTATTTCAAATAGCATAGTTTTGGAACAAAAATAGGAAAAAAATAGGAGACTTAAATAGCGTTGAAATAAAAATAGTTTATAAATATATTTCAGACATATTTTTTCTGAAATATATTTCTAACATATTTTTTTTTACAAACCAAATATATTTAAAATCTATTTTAAAAAAAATGGAATATTAATTGAATGATTGGTGTACTGTATAATTGTTTGGTAGCAATTAAATCTCTGTCAAGTTCTACTTTGTAGCACCTTGTTGTACAATATATGCATGTAGGTGCATGTCATGCGCACATGTACAAAATAATTGGATTAGTCGAATCCCCGTCCACATATTACCCGAGTAAAAACTAAAATAGGAATAAAATAGGGGGAAAATAAATACACTAAAATATTTCTATCCTATTTTTCTGCTGCCAGATGTACAAGATAAATAAAATGCAAACACATTTTTATTTCAGTTTGAAACGTTAGAACACTTTATTACATAAAATATCACATGCAATGTACACCCATATGGTGAATGAGAATACTAAACAAACAGTCCACAAACTATTAAAACATATTTACAAAAGTCACACTTACAAAACTTGAGCAGCATTTCATATAGAAAATTTTGGATTTAGAGGTAAGAACGGCCGGTAAATATTATGTATCTTTGGCAAACCGATTGGCATATACCCGTCTTATAAATGATACAAATATTACGCAAAGGTAGTACTAGGTCTTTGTAAACATAAACGCAAGAAAGAAAAAAAATATATCTTTTTCTTCTTCATTAAATTGTTCCCTATATAATCACTGGTAAAAATTGCAGATATTGGGTTCACATATATATATATGTATTAGTTGTGTAAACGAAACTATTATAATGTAAATCTAATCTGAATGTAAGATATTAGAATTTAAAAAAAAAAATGAATTTTCACATTTTTGGCTAATAAAATACTAGCATATATACAGGATGTGAACCAGTATTGAACAGCTTATACATGACTATAAAGTGTTACATGATACCAGTAGCAAGGCTATCTGGCAAGTTTCAACAGCTAGTCTAAACAAAATCTTTAAAAATGTCTATAAATGAAAACATGTGAAGGCAAAGGTATAGTTCACATCTATAACAATGTAAAAAGTGTTAATAGCACTGGCAACTTGGTCTATCTGTCAAGTGTCATAAGGATGTCAAACATGAATAGTCTTCAGATGTCTTTAAAACTTTAAATGAATACTAAGACAAAGCTTTATTACTGTTACATGAATACACATCTATAAAGTGTTACATAATACTGGCATCAACTACATAGTACACGTGAGCTGACATGGCAAAGAGTATAGTGAAACAAAGTTATACAAAAATATTCATACGCAGATATAGAATATATATATATATATATATATATATATACATCAATACATGTATATATGTAATTACGCCGTGAGGTAATTCAATTTGTGTTTGTTAAGATTGCCTTGGTAAAAATTAAGCTGTGTATTGAAGATTTATGTCTCAGATTCATTCCGACCGCGAACACATGTTTGATTGTGGCAGGGCGAGGCAACCTGGAAGTACTTGCTGAATGTTTGTTGGACGGCATTATTGGCATCATTTTGAAATGCTTTCCATTAATTACAGATGAACAATAAGTCATTAACCATGTATGATTCTAATACTTTCACCCATGTCTTGCATTTCCTAGATGTGTGTTGGACAGTTCAGTCTAACAAATTAAGACTGTATGTACATGTACTCTAGAAGACAAGGGTGCCAGTGCCACACAGTCCAAGTTGATGACTTTCCAGCAGCCGAAGCTAAGATACCCTGAAGAAGAAAAAATAATAAGTAAAAAAAAAATAAGCAGGTTGTAGTATTCTATTATGCTTTCAAATCAAATCTAGGAAAATTTAAGAGTTGAACGTGGAATGTACACTGTACAAATGAAATTCATGTAAGAACTACAGTTACTTGCATCCTTCACAAATTCATGACATGATAGATGCTTGACTACTTACATGTATGAATTATGATGATTGAATGATGAGCTATACTTTGCAACTATATGGTCATGCATGATGCAATACACCTACATGTGCATGCAGGATCTGCACAGCCAATTGAATGCGGGATTGTGATGGGAAAAAAATCATAACACACATAATATATACAGTGTATGTGACATACAAATGTACGGCTTCTAAGAATCAACTTTGCCATTCAATTTCTGTTAAAAATATGCAAGAAAATCTTGCACGTATGATTTAGGATGATTTATTGGCTTATGGAATTTCTACCTGGCTGTAAAAAGTGTAAAGAATTGCAATTCATTCAAAACGAGTGCAGATCCTGTGCCATGTGTTCAATGGAGATGCTATATATCCTCATGCGTTCACATGTCTTACCAACTACCATGCAGCCAGCACGCGCATGTGGCGGAATCTAGCCTACACTGCACTGCGTTAATTTGCTCAAATATATTTATGAATGAGTAGACCTACTATAATACGCTAATTCCATTCTTTAATGAGATTCGTCATGTTTGATTGTTCACTTCCAATGAAAAGCCTTACGTAAACACAGATATATAGGTGACTATGTAAATTATGTAGACATACTACTAGGGAATATAATCTACGATCTTCGTCAACTGTGATCAGTTTGATGATGGTTTGGATTTTTTCATGAACCAAATAAATTTACAAAATCAAGATTTAGTCTACTTAACCAATTTCCTAATTTAATTGTACAGAAAGCAAACTCAATTTCGTATTGAATTGTGTGTAATTTTATTACTCACCTTCAAAATGAAGATCTTTAAAGTAGCTCCAGCAGCTAGCAGTAGCAGTCCAGTGCATGTAGTGCAAAGCAAGTTGATCGTATTTCTCCAACACAAGAGTGCTAGTGTGGGACTGTAGGCCTAATCTTGGTAATAAATTCGATCCTTTCATTTTGTTCTTTCAATTCTTGCCCTGGAATTACTCTTGAAATTGTCCTTTCCTGGTGTAAATCTACCCCTTATTACCCATACTGTGGGTTTTACAGGAAGACAAGTCTGGCGAAATGGCAAAGTAATGATTGAAATATGCGCCGTTGAGCTGATCATCACAGAGTCTGAGTGAAGATTTGAATTTGAAAATAAACTACCGGTTGGCCTATTCGCTTTCTACCACTAGATGGCAGCACACATTTAGTTGTGTTTCATTATGATTCAACATTTTTGAAGAGTACCCTTTCACCTTTGTATTTATTATGGGGAAAATTGTTACAATTACATCCAATTGGATAAGTTCTAGTCACTATAACACTATAGTAGTAAGCTAATTCTTTTGCTAATTACATACTTTTTTACTTGAAATATTCAAAATCGATAGTCATTTCATTTAAAGATAAAATTAAAACATTCTTAATTCTTGATTAAATGTTCACAGGCCTATACGATATATTTATGCTCCCTTAAAATGTTCACAGGCCTACGAAATAATTATGCTCCCTTAAAGGAAGAGTTGAGTTCTAAGGAGGGCCAGTAATTTGTCCAAATCTTCTTTGAATTTTTTTTTTTTCATTTTAAAAGACGAAATATCGCAATTTTTGTTAACATTATAGTTATATTGTGAAATATGTTTTGAATTGTGCAAATATATATTTATAAAGTGTAAACAAGTTTCAACAACCTTAAAAATCAAATATCGGCCTATATTAAAAGCAAAAAGGTGACAAAATCCATTAAGTCTGTGAACATAGTAAACAAAATATAGGGAAAAAATGGTGATAAAAAAATTAAGTCCCTAACCCTAAAAAAATAGGAAGAAAATGGGTGAGAAAATTGAAGTCCAAAAACATAGTAAAAAAATAGGAAGAAAATGGCAGAGAAAAATCTAAGTCCAAAAACATAGTAAAAAAATAGGAAGAAAATGGCAGAGAAAAATATAAGTCCAAAAACATAGTAAAAAAATAAGAAGAAAATGAGTAAGAAAATCTAAGTCCAGAAACATAGTAAAAAAATAGGAAGAAAATGAGTAAGAAAATCAAAGTCCAGAAACATAGTAAAAAAATAGGAAGAAAATGAGTAAGAAAATCTAAGTCCAAAAACATAGTAAAAAAATAGGAAGAAAATGGCAGAGAAAAATCCAAGTCCAAAAACATAGTAAAAAAAATAGGAAGAAAATGGCAGAGAAAAATCTAAGTACAAAAACATAGTAAAAAAATAGAAAGAAAATGAGTAAGAAAAATCAAAGTCCAGAAACATAGTAAAAAAATAGGAAGAAAATGGCAGAGAAAAATTTAAGTCCAAAAACATAGTAAAAAAATAGGAAGAAAATGGCAGAAAAAATCTAAAACATAGTTAATCCAAAACATAGTTAAAAAATAGGAAGAAAATGGGTGAAAAAATCAAAGTCCAGAAACATAGTGAAAAAATAGGACAAAATCTGGTGACAAAAAAACTAAGTCGAAAAGAATAGGGAAAAAATAGTAAGAAATAGGTAAAAAATAGGAAGAAAATGGCAGAAAAAAATCCAAGTCCAAAAACATAGTAAAAAAATAGGAAGAAAATGGCAGAGAAAAATCTAAGTACAAAAACATAGTAAAAAAATAGAAAGAAAATGAGTAAGAAAAATCAAAGTCCAGAAACATAGTAAAAAAAATAGGAAGAAAATGGCAGAGAAAAATTTAAGTCCAAAAACATAGTAAAAAAATAGGAAGAAAATGGCAGAAAAAATCTAAGTCCCAAAACATAGTTAAAAAATAGGAAGAAAATGGGTGAAAAAATCAAAGTCCAGAAACATAGTGAAAAAATAGGACAAAATCTGGTGACAAAAAAACTAAGTCGAAAAGAATAGGGAAAAAATAGTAAGAAATAGGTAAAAAATAGGAAGAAAATGGCAGAAAAAAATCCAAGTCCAAAAACATAGTAAAAAAATAGGAAGAAATAGGTAAAAAATAGTTATCAAACCACCAATTCCTAGAAATAGAAAAAAAATAGGCTGTCATATGCTATTTTTAATCTATTTTTAATAAAAAATAGTGTTTAAATAGGGTACATTCACATAAAAATAGGAAATAAATAGTGAAAAATAGGAAAAAAATATATTTTTCCAGAGCCCATTTTGACTAGGGTAGGTTGGATAGATTTTCAGGGCAGGGTGGTATGTTATTAGAAGATTGGTTAGAAGAGGTTGACCTATATTGTGAACAGTCACAAATTTCAGAGACCCAAAAGGTCAGTGTGATCAAGGCTCATTTGGAGGGGCCGGCACGTAAAAGAGTTACGATGTTATTCTGAAACACTAGATACAAATCAAATAGTTACTATTTTGCAGAACCACTTTGGTACGTGTGCATAGTGACAATCCTGACCAACAGTCGTTTGCAGAGCCTAGCTCTTCTGGCATATTTCCATCTTACACAAAAGATCAGTTAATCCAAATGCAGAAAGAAGACCCCGAACTGAAGTTTGTATGGAAGCGGTGGTCCCAAAATTGGGCACCCGGTGATGAATACTTCAAACATCCTTCAGAACCTGATAATGTTAAATCATGGTTGACTCATTGGTCTCGCCTTTCATTGAAAGATGGTTTGTTAGTAAGAAGAGTGCTAGACCCTGTATTTGGGGAGATATTCCAAGTTTTACTATCTCACTGTTTACGTAAGAATGTGTTGGTAGGATGTCATGATGAATGGGGACATCAAGGTAGAAATAAGACCTATGAATTAATAAGATCTAGGGCCTTTTAGTATATGTTGTATATGTTGGTTCCTAATTTTGATAAAGTAGGTATAGATCCAGTAGGGGAGAGTATATGTTGGTTCCTAATTTTGATAAAGTAGGTATAGATCCAGTAGGGGAGAGTATATGTTGGTTCCTAATTTTGATAAAGTAGGTATAGATCCAGTAGGGGAGAGTATATGTTGGTTCCTAATTTTGATAAAGTAGGTATAGATCCAGTAGGGGAGAGTATATGTTGGTTCCTAATTTTGATAAAGTAGGTATAGATCCAGTAGGGGAGGATGTAGCGGGGCGAGCTGGAGATGATAATGTTAATGTTCCAGGGAATCAGGATGGTGCCATCCCAAGAAGGTCGCAAAGACAAACTAAGGGTAGACATTCTAACCCTTTTAATTTACCAAAATCAGTTTTGCGCTGATTATCTACAAATTTTGAGATATGCTATGTACAGTCGGATATTTCGTATTTTTATTGAAGGGACCGTAATATTGACGGTTAATTATCACGGTAATTAGTCGTTTACATCAAATTGGAGAGTTAATAATTTTAATTATCAAACTTTTACTGTTTTAGGGCTGGGCACCCATCCTGATTTTATGAGTTGTATCGGCGTACGCTCCGTCGGATTTCTAGTTTTTGTCGAAACAATTTTTGGATGTAATTGTGGTGATTTTATTTGGGGTCATTTATGGTTATGGTGATTTTGCGTGTTGAAATTGGTTGTATATTCCATAGGTCTGCATATTACAAATTTTTATATTTTTCCAGTTACACGTATCGTTGTCTATTCCAGTGTTCGGAGAAGGTGCATGTATTTTCACTAGTATATGTCAATTTTTAAGTAGTTTCTGATTACATATGGATGTTTACAAGTGGCAGGAGAAGTCCCAACAACCGGTTGGAGGAGGTCTGGGGTATCCGGCTCTGACCGCCGGGGTTGTGACACTTCCCTAAGCTTCGCAAACAGTTATGAGGGTTTGTTTGAGGGTTTGTTTAATTGACTATTGCGTTAAGGTTGTGCATTTACTTGCAAAATATTGACATGCTGTTTTAATATGCCAAGGGTGTCATTAATGGGGGGGGGGGGTGATATTTCTAAGTATGTTTGAACTAGTGGGTATTTTTGTGAGTTGGATTATCAGTTTGATATGGGTGTTTACATATTGTAATTTGGAAGCCATGTTGGCTTTATATGATGTATATGAAGTTATTGTAGATGTTTAGGGCTGGGCAGCCATGTACGTGTGTGTAACTTTGAGGGGAACGTATATATGACGAGAATTTCTTCTTTTTTTTTGTTGCGATCTTATGGGACAGATCGTTTCAGTAGCGAGTAGGGGAGTTTGTAATGATATGGATATTCTCGTGTTTACGTTTTCCTCAAAGGTTCATTGACGTACATGTACAAGGCAAATTCCTGGTAGATTTCGCTAGAACTATGTTTACAAACATACATGGTGAATTCCTTGTATGCTATTTTTGACACCTGTTCCGAGACGTTGCGCTCTTAATTTTGGCTCTACTTTTTCGGCTCTACTTTTTCGGCTTGGCCGATTGGATTAGGTGTCGCTGGGCGTGTCGCCACAGTTGACTTAAATTTAATTAGGCAAATTTGGGAAATAGATTTGTATTACAATTGGAAGGGTTTTTCCTTGTTGCGGGGTCTGTTCACACTATCGAAATAGTATGAGAGAGGAAGTGAGGATTTACAGGTGTGTAATAGCCAGAAGCATGTGGGCTCGCTAGTGTGGACGGACATAGCAACATTTATCCCTTTTTATATTCATTGAATTAATTTCCAGGGTTGTTGGGTCTCCGGGTGATTTGCATCTCTTGTTTGAAAGATTAGAATGTAAGAGACACAGGTGGGTGCGTGAAAGAAGTATGTGAGGAATAGAGATGCGGATCATCCGGAGCGCCTTATATCCGAGGGGGTAAATTCGCCAAGAAATATAGGACCTTTTAATACGGAAACTAATTATGGGTGGATTGATATTACGCAAAGCGTCTGTGTGACACGCCTCAATTTTTGGGAGGACGAGGCGTGTCAGTTCGGGGGGATAAAAACCGAGTTGCGTCTCTGGAGCGGGACCTCTTTTCCGTTACGATCGACATGAGTTGCTAATTTGTTTCGATTGGGTTGCCCAGCCCCAAAACATGAACTTCGTGATTTATTAATTCTTCGTTTATTTTAATAAATCTTCAACTCCAATCAAGAATTTGTTTCAGTGACTTTGATTTATCTTCGTTTTCTACACTTCAAGAACTAAAGCTATACTTTAACATTTTCTGAGTCGGTACTAGGCGGGGCGGTTTTGGCCACCGGGCCGTCTCGCCGTGGATCGCTTCATTACGAAGTGCGATTTCTGTTGCTATATAGTTGCTAGGCGAACTTGACAAACTTGCATCACAAATAAGATTATCTGGGATGAGGAATATACGCTCGTAGACATTTGCCTCGATCGGTCGTTAGTTAAATTTCTTCAATTATCACCCAATCATTAGAACAAAATAGTAGCCTTGTTCGATGAAACTCTTTTTTTTGTACCACGATTATTTCACACATGTATCAACTAACATTATATCATGCATAATCCAATCTAAAAAAATAATGAGTTTATGTTTACAGAGCGTTGAAAATTGTCAATGAACTTTAGAAATCGCTCACAACACGGATATATCAAAAAAGAGAAACAGAACGTTACCGTATAAGTAACGATACTTTTTAATAACAGGATCTTTTCGTCACTTCTCATTTAATGGCATGTTTATTTTGCTAATCCATCTGATATCCCACAACTAGGAAATTGAAAAGACTAATAGTGA